ATTGAATATGAACCGAATTATTATTTTTTATTTTTTTTTTTTAAAGTACATTTAAAGACAAAAATTTCAAAAAAAAAACATCCCAAAAAGTCAATTTTCAAAAAAGTTATGGTTATTTAACAAAAAAAAAGCTGTTTTTTTTTGTAATAACTTGTAACTTTTTTTTGGTTGGGTAAACAAATTTGAAAAAATTCTGAAAATTGTTTTCAATAGGGTAGAGAAAGATATCAAAATTTTAGAAAAATCGAAAAGGGTCGGTGTCAAAAATGGTCGACTTGGCATGGAATGCCCCATATGGTTATTGATCCCTTTGGTATATCTTTTGCGTATTTGACGTTTACTAAAAACTATTGCTTCAATGATTTATTCGAGCAATTTTCTATTAAATTTTATTAGTTTGCTAAACCTGTTTAAGTCAAACTGGCATTAATTTATAGAATGAGTAAATAAAAGAATAATTCAGTTATGTATAATTTCATATTTAGAAAACTATTTTTAGACTAAAATTTTAGGTCTATCGAGCTAGCAGGGGTTCGTCCATTATGCATTGACTCATTGTTCAAGCAACAAAATCAATTTGTGGTGTTAAATTTGTTGATAATTAGTTGCTCTATTTAGAATCTTGTTACTTGTTTAGATTCCAAGATATCATTAATAATATCTATTCAAAATGGATTTTTCCACTCCTAGCTTAACGACGCTTAAAATTTTTTAGATTGTACTAGCTTAGGTCGAAAAAATATAAATATGCAAAAATGAGCAAATTAGCACGTCAAGTCATACCAGGACACATCAAGTCATATATGTCCTGATATATCAGAAAATTTTTTCACGGGACTATATTTGGAATCAAACATGATGTCCTTAAATTTATTTTAAGTCTTAGTTAATTAAAAGTAAAATATTGATTATGTAATTTGAAATCTACAGTAGTATAAGTTTAATAAGTAATAACATTTTCAATTAAAGTTAATTAAGTTTACGAAAGTTCAATATCCTATCTTATTCAAAAGAGCATACTTTAAAATATTATTAATCGGGTTTTTAGTGAGTTAAGTTGATTAGAAGAAAAAAAAAACAATAATCTATACGAGCTAAATTTAGCCTTCGGTTAGTCACGTTTTCACGTGTCTCACTTACGTGGTAAAAACTTCATATAGTTTGCAGTGTTTTAGTAAGAAAATCCTTTATGACGTGACCAACTAAAGGTTAAATCCAGTATATAATTTTAACAGAATAAATTTACTTTTTTTTCATCTGGAAAATCGGATTAAAATCACGATTAATTTTACGAGATTAATCATCAAAAATAAGACACAAACACGATTACTTAATTACGAACTCACTAATTGATTCGTAAGCTGGTGGTCACATAATTGGATATAAACTGATGATAACCATCCATGAGATTAACTTTTCGAAGAACTAAATAATCAATAAAGACTTCAATTTAAAAATTACTCATCAACTGTAAAAGGTTACTTCGTTAATTGTGTTTTAATTTACTTTCCCAGTAGAACAATTTCATTTTATATTTTTCTACTTTTTCCAGCGCGGCTGTAAAAAGTCAGTCAATGACATAAATCAATTATCGATTGAACGTTGAAAAAGCTCAGAAGTAATTAAAATGTTTATTTTTTTCCTATTATGTAGAATCAGAATCAGAATGAAGCTATCGAACTGATTTTAATCACTAGATCATATGTATAACTAAGAAAAACTTTTTAATTTATAAAAAAAAGCTTCAAAATCTTACTCTTGTCTTGAAATATTTCTAGTGAAGGAAATTAAAGCTTATATATCTACAAATTACAACTCTGAGATGAATAAAATATTCTTCAGGAAGAGTTTTGTTCTTACGAATCCTTTTATTGTTTCCAAATAAAATACATGTATGTACTTTTCCCTATAATTTCTTCTCTTTGGAATATTGCACGTGGTAACGTTGATTGAAAATAATATCAGCTTGTTGAATTCTCTTTAAATGAAGCATTGGAATTTCACTAGTGAATCAGCCCCGGGTCAAAAAATTTAAACTGATTTTAAGCTAAATGATCTGCGTTTGAACTTATTGACCTGTATTTGAACTTTTAAAAACATTTTCGTTTGTATTTGATCTACTATTCAAATTATTTAAGCAAAACAATTTGTTAATAATTGCTTATTGCTAGTTGCAAACAGGATGTTTACAGATGAAGTTTGACGATGGGTAATACCCAAAGACATTAATGATTGTTAAACAATTCTGATTTATTAATTGTAGGTGTAGTAAGCTGACTACCCTGGTCGAAAAATTTAAACTGATTTTAAGCTATATGATCTGCATTTGAACTTATTGATCTGTATTTGAACTTTTAAAAATATTTTCATCTGTATTTGATCTACTATTCACATTATTTTTGATCTGCTTTAAGTCTAAATAACTTTTTAGTGAAATAATTGAGCAGCTATGAATATTTTATACTGTTTCTAATCTAATGAGACTAAAAAGTTTAAAAAGTTTGATCGGTTTTTAGTCTAGTTATTTTGTAGATGGACTTTATGTATTGTTTTCAAATTCAATCTGAAATTTTATACTGTTTTTGATCTATAATTTTCACTCTAAATGTTTGAAGGCCAAAAATCGACTAAGATGGCAACTTACAATTTTTTTAACTTAAAAGTATCTCATTCAAAATTATAAGTCGCATTTATTTGAAAAAATAAATTAATTTATAATATATTCATGCGCTCTCTTGTTTTATGAACTGAACGTCGATTATAACCTTACATCTGTCATATTTATTTGTCATAGCTTATCATTTCATGGATTATAAAAGTTTTGTAACTGCGAATATTAGTTGCAGTGATAACTAATAAATTTGTATTAACATACGTATAGAAAATAGTTCTCATCGTTTTATTATGGATCTCAATCTGGAATTTTCTAATTATCGATATTAAACACAATGTGAATACATTGACAAGATTAAAATGCATAAAATGCTGACAAGATGACAAGATTAATATTAAATTTAATATCTCCATGCATCATTTAATGAGCGGTATTCACTGTTGGGTAGTGCAAAGAATACCGTTTGGCATACATTGCACTACGAAATAGTGAATGGTCACTATTTCAGTTCCAGAGAATGAAAAGCTGTGCCCTGTAGAGGATCTTCGAGGACATGAATAAAATAATAAGAAATAAATATATTATTATTTTTATTATTATTAATATTATTATTATCAAATTCGTAAAAGGTCGGTTTTTGATCTACAAGCGATGAAAAACCGACTAAAAATTATAGAATGTTTTGGTCGGTTTTTGACCTTGATGTGATCAAAACCAGTTAAATGATTGTGACAAAAAAAGTCTGATTTTGGTCTTGAAACAATAGAAAACAATTTTATTATAATATTAAAAATGATCTGGAATTGGTCTGAATTGTGAATAGTACGGGCAAAAACAGATTAAATTCTCATATAAAATAGATACACATAATAAAATTAAATTAAATGAAAAATATTAAAAATTTTTATTAATCATAAAACAGACTAAATTTTTTGACCCGGGAGTTCTATATTTATAAAAAGAAAAGTCCTCCATACTTTTCGGAATTGATTGAATCAAAAATTTTGTTTCTTAAAGAGAAATCCTATTTTTTGGCTTAAGGTGAATTGATAGGGAATGTTTTATTCATAGGGAAGATGAGATTTAAAAAAAAAACACTTCTCACTAAAATAGAGAACAAAATTGTCTATCAAAGAATAAAGATAAAGATACTACCATTTTTTCAATAAAGGGATTGAGTAAAAAAATATAAATCGTTTTCAAGCTGATAAATTTTTGAACGAAGGATTTCTATTTCAAATAAGATTCTAAAATTATCCAAATAAACCGTAATTATTATTGTTTACGATTGAACAAGTTGATTCTATCGATTGAAGATAATACCCCGAAAAAAAAAATTAACTTGAATTAAGTCGAAAAACTCTTGAATCAAGTAAAATTTACTTAACTCAAGAAAAATTTATCACTCTAAGAGTTTTTTCTCTTTAATCAAGACAGTGAAACTTTTTGAAATGAGATACAAAAATTTTCGTCTGGAATCAAGTTAATTGTTTTTTTATTTTTTTCAGTGTATACTGTGAATAAAGCGATAATAGTTATCGATCGTAGACACAGCTGTCTTTATTCATGACGTTATAAATCAAGAATATTAAATCTTGAAGCAAGATGGTAAAACTTTTCCTAAATGGATCTTTTTCTTTAATCATATATTAGATTTTTCTCAGTGTGTTGGAAACAACGATTAATATTTTTGTTTGCGAGTTAAATCTTGAGCTAACGTTGAAATTTTCAAAAGAGCTAATGCTAGTTTTGTTAAAAGAGATTGTAATTGGAACTGTTTAATAGTTTAACGAGAGTTTCCAAGTATAGTTTAAGTTGTTTTCAAAATAAGAACGGTGGAATCGTGCTGCATATGCTGCTCTCACGTATACGTTCAGACTCAGTCGCTCAAATCTATGTGTACATAGATAAGTATGAATAAAAAAAGTATATGGATATATAAATGAGAGTGCAATGTACTTGAACACAAGGCGCATGTGGCTGCAAGCGCAACAAAATTGCCATGGTATATATATTTCTGGCAACAGAATATGACGTCGTTTATCGTTTTCCGATATCCGTTACTCGTTTTCATCGATAAGCCTCTTATCTCACTCTTAACGTATTTCTCTTCTGTCTGTAAGTCGGATTCAACTTCAACGATTATTATTTCCTACATGTTTATTTAAAAAATAAGCCTTTATTGTGTTTGCCCAATAATTTGTGCTATTTTTCCATAAATTTATTTTCTATTGTTTTCTCCCATTTTTCTATCATCTTGTTTGAACAAATAATCTAAATATAAAAATATATTTATTTCTCTCGCTTGCTGTAAACTTAATCAATTTATCAAGTGCTTAGATAATGAAAAATATTTTTATAATTCTCTATATCTCAATGACATTGGCAACTCCGATAATCTACAATTATATATAGATAACAAGTATAATAAAATTAACAGAAAAAAAAGAACAAAGATGATGATTATAATTGGAATTCATTGCTTCAATAGTTTTTAAGAGAAAAAGTTGACAATACTCGTTAGTAGTTGGAATCTCTTTCTTACTGTCCGCTATAATTCATATCAACTTTGTCAATCCTTTCAAACTTTATTATTTTTCATTTTTCACTTCACAATTTTAATATAATCTTTCTATTTTATTGAAATAAATAAGATCTATTTTACAAGGTCTATTGTTCTCTTATCAATTGATTTAAAAATTTGCTCTTGCGGATTATGAAATGATCGTTATCAAATGATTAATTGGATTCTAATAGGTTAGAAGTTTTATGAATTTCGATTTATACAAGACTAATAATTCAGATAATTAAATACGCAATATTTTATAATTATTTATGAAAAATTATTTATTAATTTAAACCCACCTGGCATATTACTGTAGACTATGTATACAAAAGTAACTTTAGTTAACGCTAATCGTTCAAAGACTGTCAGCTCGAGTAACTCTAGATATATTTGTATGAAATGGAACGCCCACGGTGACGTGATAGATAGTGATATTAAAATATAAACAAAAATACACTTGTCAAGCTATGATAGGTGTTCATTTTATCTCAATACCAGTCCGAGAAATAAGATTTTTTTTTATGCACATTTGTCGATCGCGGCGCTGCTATAGTCCTTATCGAACTGAATTATTCTGCAATTCTGGCGTATGATTTATATCGTTTATACAAATAAAATGTATATTATATTCTTCTGAGCAATTTCAAAATTTTATATTCGGTAACACATAAAGGTAGTTCCTTTGTGGTATAGTGTGGTCAGAGAGCATTTACCATTGTGAGAAGGTTGATACTATTGTCAAACCATTATTTACCATAGAAATACTAGATCAAAATGACTAAAAAAAAGGTTTAAATTATTATATCTCGACAACAAAACGAGAAAGTGTTGCTTTTTTGTTTTTTATTAATTAATCAAGAAACTATTTGTTTTTATTCTTCCAGTTTTTTTTCCAATTCTGTCGAGGAATTTTTTTAATATAACAGAGAATATTTGGGTAGTCAAAGAGTTTTACATGCTTTAAATGAGAAGTAAGCCTGGAAATGGCGAATTTTGTTATTAAATATTTTGCTTTCTAAACGGTCAAAAATTCTGAATCTTCGAAATTTGTTAGTAAACGTTATTCTTAAATCATGAAAAAAAATTAACAAAATCTGTCGGAAAGTCGTTTCACGGAAGAGCAACCTTAAAATGCATGATAAATTTTTTGGATCTATGGATTTTTTTCGCACACCTCACAACGCAAAGCGATTGAGATAGTGTTTTATTCTCGACGCGTCAAGGTCAAGCAATTTTGTACGGTCTTCAAGTGTCTCGATCATCACCATATTGCACTTATACGATGATATGAGTAGATGTACATCGAGAAAATACTGTAATTAATATAATAGTTAAATTATCAGGAACTTGGACAGGCAAAAATACTCAGTGCTAGATTTTTAAATGTTGCAACGTTTCATTGTATTTCACAACTTCATCAGGCAAACTGTACAAAAGAAAACACATTGTTATTAACAATATGATAATGATAACAAAAAAATAAATTAAAAATCTTACATTTAAGGTTAACACTGTTGTGTATCAAAATAAACTCCGAAAAATTTCATCGTTTTACAATGTATAAATAAAGTCAAACAAGTGGTAACCATATTATAAAGAAACTTAGTCAATCTCCATTCCATTTAAACAAACTAGTCAACAATTTTTAGTTATAAAATTACAATAATTACAAGACAGTCAGCAACAGACTGAGCGTAAACAACTGTAATGGTAAAAACATTGCAACATTTAAAAATCTAGCACTGAGTATTTTTTCCAGTCCAAGTTCCTGATAATTTTACTATTATATTTAATATCATGGATGATAACATAAATCAGAACTGTAATTAATCCATCTGAACTTCCATTTGGGCGTCCGGATGGCGGTATGCTGATTTTTTATATAGTGACGATAACTCCCGAAAAAATTGATGTGTTAAGAGTGGGGTTTTTTTTTTCAGCTCCCTACATCGAGAGAGAGGGGGTTCGGAAAATGTGACAACCTGTTACAAAGACGGGGGGAAGGGTTAAAAAGTCCTGAAATTCGTGTGACGTAATTTATGGATGGCCCTGTACAAAAACAAAAGAACTTTTCTCATTTCTCGTATCTGAAAACTGTGGCGCCACCAATTAAAATAAGATCAAGCCATCATATTACAAGCGTTTGAAAATCAATTATACAATGCATTTGTTTCTCAAAAAATAAATGAGCATTATGAGGCGTGCATTTTGAGATTCATCAAACTTTTTTCATATTTTCAAGCTTTAATATTCCTAAATTTGTAACGTCATAGTAAAGTTTTCAAAATGATTATTGGATTGTTTTTAATTATGGCACGATGTTAAATAGAAGGAATAAAGTAGTAAAAATAATTTGAATTACAATAAGCACAAAACACAAATGAATTAAACTTTCAATTGTGACGTTTATATTAAATTAACACTTAAATGTGTATGCGACCTTTAATATTGTGAATTGAATAACCACAGATTATATGCTGCCGACATAATACGAAGAGTTTCTTTTAACTAACATTTATAACAAAAATTGTCATAACTAGCTAGTACGAGTAATTATAATACACACATTCGAATTAATTGTCACACGAATGGTTTCTTGGGTATTAAACTTCAGACTTGGGGATTATAATTATTTGTACGAAATAAACTAGTTAATATATTCCATACGTTCTTATGTGCAAATTGTAAAATTCAAAATCTTGTAATTTGTATTTTTGATTTGAATCCTCGCAAAAATAAAAGTAAAAAAAAGAACCGAAAAAACCTTTGTATTTTTTTTTTTTTTTTTTTTTATTTAACAAATTGACATTTTGTTGAATAAAAATAAGAAACATTTTTATTATACATTTTTTTTGCTCAATGTTTGATAAAATTTCAATGTTACAAAAAAAATCGAAAATTCAAAGAGTTACAGGCTAATCAAGAAGAAGTTAAAAAAAAAAGGTGGATTCTAGTAGACATGTTTCCAGCCCTCGTAGTGTTTTTAAACAAAAAAAGGGATGAGTTTTTTTCATGATTCGTCACTAGTTTAATTGTGCTGTTTACAACAAAACTTTTAAGTGCTTTATCAGTTCTTTACCTATTATTGTATACCATAATTTGTGACGACTCAGACTCGTATCATAAATAGGAATCTTAGTCTTGAGATAATTAAAGAATGAACACTGAAAATTTAAGATGTTCAGGATACTCATAGAGCAACACATCATTCCAGTGTTAATAAATCATCCAAGGTTGATTAAGTTTTGTAGTTTAAAAAGTCTTAGCAGAAAATATAAGAGGTATCTATGGGTGGATTATTTTTTTAATTTATGCGACGGAGCGTAAGCGCAAGTTGAAGAAAAATAGTTTCAAGAAAATAAATAACTAGAGATCAAAAGTATTAGTTACTCAAGTCTGTAAGTGAGTTCAAAAGCTAGTTTATTATTTATAATTAGTGAATCATTTTTTTTTGCTTCTTAAACTTATTTTTAATTGCATAAATTTTTAAAAATCTTCCTATGTAAGATGTCTTTAAATAATTTATGGCAGCATACTTATTGGATAATTAATTTATGTTTCTATAAAAAATTTTTAATGCTAATTTGCAAGTAGAACAAAAAAATATGCCCAGATATCAACATTACTACGTCAGCGGACGTCGCATTGCAGTAGATGAAACTCGTCATTTACATGTATAGGATGAGAGCTAAATTTCATTATCATTTCCGTGTAAAAAAAAAATTGTTTAAAAAATGTTCACAAAATATTCACAGCTTGTAACATCAAAAGGTGACACAATTGTAAAAATTTTTTGAACACCTAATAAAAAATCGAGAATGTTTTGAGACATGCAAATTTTGGATTGATTGATAAATTTTGAAAATTTTGTAATGATTTTTTAGACATTTTTTGAACATTTGATGAACATTGATAATTATTTTAAATAACTAGTCAGGCCAATAAAAAGGTTTCTTTTGTTTATTTTATTAATTAAATTAAGTAATTATTATTTTTTTGTTTCGAGGCGATCCCCGTCTAAAACCCTGGACTCCGGCGGGCCAACACGAGCCGGAGATTGACGAATAAATTAAATTCTTTAACAAATTTTGATACGTGGCTATTACATGTGACTTAAGAAAAAGTCATAATAATATTCGAAAAATGTTAAAAATGATCTATTTTAAACAAATTTTAGGCACTTCGAATAAGGGCTTTTTCCTGTGTCACTCGGAAAAAAGTTATAACAGTGTTTAAAAAATGTTTAAAGAATGTCTAAAAAGTGTTCAAAAAATTTCCATAAAATGTTCAAAAAATGTTAATAAAATTTCCAATTTTATGCAACTTGAAAATAGTTTTTCTCCTGTGTGACTAAGAAAAAAGTTACAAACATGTTCAAGAAATGTCCTTAAAATGTTCAAAAAACGTCACAAAATTCTCAAAATTTATCGATCAATTCCCACTGCATGTCATGTTACAAGCTGTGAACATTTTGTGAAAATTTTTTGAACAATTTTTTTTTACACGGGTTCTTCAATCATGGGAGCACTCGTTATTTTATAATGCAAGGATAATAGTAACGAAAAGGAAATGAAAAATAAAAGAAGATGCATATTCCTTTCATCACGCAACTTGAATTATATGTGTTTTTAGAAATGTAAAATATAGTAATTGAAAGCAAGAACACTTGGATATCTTCTCAATCGCGTGCCAATAATCTTTTCAACTCATTCAATATCGACATGATGATACTTTACCAGGGTATTAAATTTTCAATACTTACTTTTTTATTTAATTTGCTTCCTATTAATGATAATGACATAGCATACTCTTAATAACAACAACAAATCGTAGCTGATCAAGTGGAAATCATTTCGTTAATTACTCTTAAAGTTATTTTATAGCATTACTCGATAATTGTATTGAACATAAAAAAAAAGTAAAAAATTTATCGAATTCAACGAATCATTACCCTTTTAAATAGTTTATTGCATTTATTTTCTTTTTTTTTCATTTTATTTTTTTTTTATTTTATTTTTTTTTTTTTTTGAAAGAAAATGATAGAAAAATGAAACAATCACATCACATTTTTCAAAGGCATATTTTTGTGTTACTACTAGATCTCTTTTAATTCTTTGCTAAATCTAAAAATTTTAATGCTACGATGAAGTTTGTTTTCTTCTATTGACGAAAAATATGCAAAAAAAAAAACAATTCTATTCATGAAATAATTAAGTACCTACAAAAAATTTTTACTGTCAAATATAACGCCAACTGTTGAAAATAGATTTGATTGTGTTGAAAGATTACAAAAGACGCCATCTATTAATAGTCTATTTTACTAAAATGACAGCTTTTAAATTGTTAATATTTTATGCAAACTTATAATCTACGAGAAAAAAATAGATCTTATTCCTAAGTAGAATGGTAACCATTATTACTATGTTACATAGTAACGGAAATTTTTGTGAGAATCCTATGTAAATTTGCTGAGAAAAAATCT